GCCATCGCTTCTGCAGGCCAAGTCGGGTGGGCGAGGCCAGGATTAGTCGGGCCGTGCTTCGAGAGGCACGGCAGGTGCGGCGGGATTTGTGTGTTCCACCGAGCAGCCACCAAGAGCTGCGTGGTCGTCAGGGAGGGCGACACTGCGGGAGGAGAGAGCAGCAGTAGGCCGGACGTGGATGGCGCCCTGGTGCGGGCTGTTGAGGTCCCTGCTGAAGGTGTGTTTGGTGCATTCCAGTACACCAACTCTCTCCGTCTGTTGTAGAAGTTGTGGCAGAGCTGTTGCACAGCAGAGTTGCTACCGCTGGGGGCACTAGCGAAAGTGTCCCAGCGACCGACTTATCCACTCAGGAGGGGTCGGACGAAGTTAGGCGTCGCCAAGAGGATGCTGTCGACGGTGGGGATGCTGTGTAGTGCATGTCCACCAGGAGTCCCAACGGGGGCTCCATAGAGCGGGAGCACGGAGGCTGCCGCTCGCCCGCAGGTGCGGGTCGTGGGAGCAGAGGAGAGTATCCGCTACTCCCGAGCCGGTTGCTATATCGGTTTGTCCCCATTAAAAGGGCGTGTAGGAGGGGGCACGCGGAGGCGGTGGAGTTCTGCCGCCTGCACCCCAGCAGCATGGAAGGAACACAAGACCGGGAGATGGCCTGGAGGTATACAACACCAATGTCTGCTGGGGCGGGTCTGGAGACAAGGCCGGAGCGGGAATGCCCGCGGGTTGTACCCGCAAGGTATGCGGCCCGCGAACACGGGTGGAGAACACTCGTGTACACTTGAGAGTAGTGTGTGCTCTCTTGTGTTTATCCCCATTAAGAAGCGTGTAGGAGGGGGCACGCGAACCCAACCCGTCGTGTGTGCGGGGAAGGGTACCAGAAAAATCTTGCTGGCCCCGATGAATATGCGGGGAGAGAAGTGCTTCCTGGCCCCGATGGATAGGCGGGGTATCACGGGAGTTGTGTGAGAAGTGCTGGAGTATTTGGCCACACCCAGCAGCACGGCAGTGGCCGTGACTGCCTTCTACCAAGAGCGGGAAGGGGGCAGCGAACATCAAGGCGCGTGGGGTACCGCATGCACTCTACATCATCAGCTGGCGGGGCCCGGAAATACGTAGCTGTGGGATGGTGGAGTTCAAAGACACGAGAAAGCCGTCGTGTGCCTGTCTGCTACACCGCTACACCGAGGAACGTCGGGACGCCGAGGGACGTCGGGTGTGGGCGGGTGGAGAGGGAAGCAAAACGGACCAGCCGCGCGGTGGATTTCCGCGGGCACTATCTTCATTTTGGTTGGTACCGGAATGTGTTTTTTGTGCTGCGCAGGGAGGACCTTGTCGAGTCAGCCGAGCGTGGCATAAAGAGCGAGCCGGGGGCGGTGGTAGATATTGTCTTGCCTTGATGTTGCAGTACGGCCGTTGGAATCTTTCATGATATGAACGGCGTGAAGGCGTTGAGATTTGTAAGGGGTTTTGATCCGATGGCGGGGTTCCCCTTGTTTCTGATTTGCGTTGTTTTAGGTGCTTTTCGGATGTACTCTTCGACGCACGAGTGGTGGTTATTCACTGGCGTAAAGAACCAAGGGAGGGTGTTCGTGCGTGGAGGTAGATTAGTCGGATTGTACCAAATCACTGGCGGTTTCGTGTACCGCAGATGGGATTGCCTTGAGGGGCGGCTAGGAGAGACCTTGAGATACGAGTGCGGGCCCCCTTTTCGACTGGCTTTGGGCCTGGCACTCTTCCTCCCTCCTTCTCCCTCATGTCCCCCTACGATAATACATGCCGTTAACAACACTCTTTGGACTCTGGAGGTCACACAACAAGGGCATACCAACACACGTGTCGATTATTAATCGAGACTGAGGAACTGGATAGTGACGATAGTTCAGACCCCTTTGTTGAACCGATAAAGTGTTGTGACATTCGGACGAGGTTGAGCCGATACAACACCCGGTGGTTTGGCTGCCAAGCGCCACACACGGGCCCCTACAGTCTTGCAGGTACGGACAAAATGCACTCGCTTGATGTGCGGTTTTTCTACGTTCTCGAATCGATCAAATACGTTTCGTCAGATGATCGGTTCGCGTCCGTGCTGGACTGCATGAACCATGTTCATTTTGTTCGCAAGCAGTAATGTGATGTCGCTTGAGCAATTCTCCGCTCGTAGAAATTCTCGTGGTCGGTTGAACATTGTCGATTCTTGCAATGTAATCTTATGTGAAATCCCGACGGTATTGCCCAGATCACCACCACCACGAGCCTCACAAACGATGAGAGCGAAAACGGTCCTCCTTCCTTCGACCCCGCACACAACAATGACCAACTCCGCAAGGGTGGCTTCACTCAGGTAGCGGAGCTGCTCGACAAGTGAGTGCGCGGAGACAATCTCGCGGTTGTGGAAAAAAAATTGGAAGAGGCGACACAGACGTTTCAGCAATGTTTGGCCCACAATGTAGCCAGAAAGTCGTGTGGATTGCCTCGGTCTCTTCATAAGACACTCAGGGTCATGCATGCGCGCAACAAGACCTACACGATACAGTGATGAAAATGAAACGCGCGGGCAAATATTTGGACATGCCCGTTGCATCTACTGACTACCCGCCTGTTGTTTGCACTCCCCCGCCTCCTTCCCTCTACAGTGGAATCGAACCCCGGTACATGTATGTGTGGTTGAAGATCACGTAGCGGAGTCAGGTATTGACTCCAGCCATTCATTGCCTCGGTCGCCCACAACCATGGTCCGGCACGCGGTGCGGCTAGCATGTTGGCCTCTGGTGGTATCTCTACACCACGATGTGTTTCTACGTTCCATGGCGATCGTAGTAGCGGGCGGTTGGTGCGACCCTCACACCCATCTCTTCTTAGAGTTTAATCCGTTCAGAGAATTTCGAGACAGTAAAGAAAGGTCGACCTTACCACAATCTTGGCAATCCAACAAGCTTCCGCAAGGAAAAATCGCCTGTGCACCTCCGCCTCTGTGTATTGCACGCGACGGACACGTTCGGTGGAGGTTGTCACAATGACGAACCTGAAACAATGTGGGCACATCGATGAAGAAAGCACTCTGCTTTGAACATTCCATGCTGCGTCTCACTGTTCGCTTGGTTATGCTGTTTCTAAAGAATTTCCACATTGCCGACGTGGTCGAATGCCAAACACGCACAAACACGCACAAGCTAAGTATTCGAACAAGGATACCACGGTTTCCGTTTCAGCCATGTCGTGCAACGACGAAAATGCAACATACGATAGAGACAATGTAGATCCACCGATAGATAGCTCCCTCCCTCCCCGCATATGAACCCCCAAAACAACCGTTTGCATGCACCAACAAACCCATCATGTACCGTCTCACAGCCAACGTATGACAAAAATTATTTGGCGAGCCCTTCCGATAACGAGCAAACACACCCCATGGCACAATAACACTTTGCGGTGACATACAGACACTTGCGTCGTCTTTAGACGAAGCTACACGCGGGGGTGACAGCATTGTTTTTCATGCCAAACTCCACTTTCTCTTGCGCGCAGGTATTGTTCTAAGCAGACGCGTACTCTCGACAGACGTAAAATATGACATATTCGTTTTCAAACGAGTACATTTTTCAAACAATCGCCTCAAGGCGCATGACGTCCTTATTGTCTCTTCTTGTGTATCACCGAGACCTGGCATCTGCCATTGCAGCATCAGCGCTTTCATCACAACACCCACATGCACCGACCCTCGCATTTGAGTCTATAAACACCACGGTCATGTGCTTCCTCGGCCACAACAAGTCTCTCCGTCAGAGTAAAACAGTTAGAGCCTCATTTGCCTCAATCAGAATTCCTGTATGACGGTGTGCACGAGCCATCGGGAAGACTAGAGGGTCGCTGGTCGGTATAAACCAAGACTTGGGGGGGGTACGCCGCCAATGGTTTACTCGATTTCTGTGTACTTTCGTCCAGGCATACCGAACCTCAACACCATCTACTCGATACGACACGGTCCGCAACAAACCTTCAACTTGTTTTAAATACATCGGCCGACCAAACCCTCACGTTCTGCTGGAAATCATCAACCGACCAACAAAAGCGGGTGCCCCGTGCAGCGTACGAGGGCTAGGTGGCACAAGTTAAGCGAAACAACGATTCCTATCCCATAGAAGCATTTACGGGGAGGTTCACTCACGACCAGAGTCATGCTGCGAGCGCCTCTAATCATGGCAGTGCCTACAGTCTACAACCCTCTGAACACCGGCAAAACATCCCTGTCCGCTGTGCAGCTTAAGAGATGGAAACTCATACCGTCCGTTTCACCCGGCGAGTCACGCGATACAGCGGCACCTATACCGGCCGTTTCCCGCTCGTTACAGCATCTTGGTGCTTGCCTCACGCGATGGAGGTGACCACGCTTGGAGCCCTGAGAAGAAGCAAACGTGCGTGCGGAAAGCTTCCGCCACTTGCACTCACCCAGCTTGCACCGCGGCTGACTGGCCTGGTCGAGCGATAGGTCGGTGACACACCCCACAAGATAGGATAACCAGGGAGTTTGGCCACACGAATCCGGCGCGAGGCAGACGGAAGTACCTTCCAAAATGGATCTCCTCCAGGGACGCCGGCCGCTTGACTCCGTCAAATGGGCTTCCTGAAAATGTCGGAAAAACGCAGCTTTTCAAGGAAAGCTGGCCACGCGACTCCGTTGATGGGTTGATCGAATGTGAACCCGAATGAGAGTTGCTGCAGGGACGCGGGCCGCACGACCTCTGCGATGGGCTGGTTCAATCTGTTCCCGAAGAGCAGCTGCTGCAGGAATGCAGGCCACGCGATTTCAACAATGGGTTGATCAAAGTTGTGTCCGAAAGTCCGCTTCCGGAGGGGTGCCGGCCACACAACGTCAGTGATAGGTTGGTTTAATTTGTACCCGAAGGATAATTGCTGCAGGCAGGCCAGCCACACGACTTCGGCGATGGACTGGTTGAAGCAGCATCCAAACGACAGCTGCTGCAGGGAGACCGGCCACGCAACATCGGCTACGGGCTGGTTGAATTCGAATCCGAACGATAGCTGCTGCAGGGAGACCGGCCACATGAGTTCGGATACGGGCTGATTGAAGCGCCATGCAAACGATAGCAGCCGCAGGGAGGCCGGCCACACAACATCCGCAACGGTCTGATCGAATTCATTTCCGAACGATAGCTGCTGCAGCGAGGTCGGCCACGCAACTTCGTCAAAAGGCTGGTTGAAACTATCTCCAGACGATAGATGCTGCAGGAGGACCAGCCACACGACCTCGGATAGAGGCTGGTTGAAACAATCTCCGAACGATAGCTGCTGCAGGGAGGCCGCCCACGAGGTCTTGTTCGCAGGCGTATCTAACTCCAATACCAGCCAATTGAGCTTTTTGAGCCAAGACATCGATCCGAGGCTTGCTGCAGATGCATGTCCTTTCATGTGCTGATGTCCTGATCCAGACCCAAGCTCGATGGCAGAACTCTGCAGCAGAACCTCCGTCGGAAGTCCCAATAGTAAACCAAAAGCCTGCACACCCGGCACGCGACTCATGATGTAAACCTCTCGACTGCGCTTGCTGGCTGTGGTGTGTGATTGACAAGGGTAAGGGGCGTGTGTCGATCCACTCGGACGTGCAAGGTCGGAACACATCCGCACGCTCCGCAGAATGCCAGTGAGACAAGCTGTAGCTCCAGCGTAGATGCATACCAACGCCTTTTCCCCCCATCGCAGGTCTGATTCAAGGCGACGATGAAGGCGTCCAGGCACCCGCGTCGTCCTGAACTAGTGGGCGGCAGATACACAAGCAGGAACGCTCACATGAAAAATGTTGTGGGCCCTGAGAAAGGTTCTGATGTGCAGCTGGTAGGTTTAAGTCGGATGCAGGGAAGAAAGTCAGAGTGGAGGGGCTCCTACCTGTGAACAACAAGACGACGGCCCCCGGTTCACTTGCCGACATCAACCTTTGATCGCAGTGGTAGCGGTGTCCCGTGATCGATCACATGTTCGTTCTTCGCCTATGTTCATATTCGACACCCCTCATTTTATCGCTAGTTGCGTCGAGGACAGATATACTATTTAGGCCGCTACAACACGAAGAAAAAGAACAGCAACTTGGGTCTTGGGCAATAAATTTGATCATTTGAGACAAATTCACGCTGAAGCTATTTTGAAACAGAAACCAAGGCCAGTAGGCTCTTCGGCACAGCTTCTGGCGATGCTGGGGCGACAGTTCCATCTCCAAAACTCGGGAAAGAAAAATCACTCTCGGATGGTGTGCCTGTATCGAAAAGAATGAACTGTACCTCCAGCATTCAAAACTTGTCGTTCCAATCCAAACGCGTGTTTCAACAAGAGGCACAGTGCAGACAAACCCTAAGCTCCGTCCAGTTTCCTCCGCGGGACAGGTGTTCTTTTGGCGGGATAGAGCCACGTTTTCAAAGCAGCCTTCTTGCTTTGGCGGGAAAGTCATGTGCTTCGCCTGGAAATCAGTACTGGCAATAACAAAGTATCATCTCCCGCATCAAGTGCTTCGTGAGTGCACCTTTTTCCCCTCATGGATCACCACGACATTTCCAGGCCCTTGCTACAGTAGCTCGCCCCCGCTATCTTTCGACACAAAATATGAACCACCAAATGGATTAGAGCTCGGCCGAAGCGTACGGCAGCTCCGTTGCGCTTGCGTGCGTTTTCGACGTATACAACCGGCCGCGCCGTGCCGCCCGACCCATACGATAGTGTAAGCAGACAAGAGCCAATCTTCTGTATTTGACGGATTTGTCCAAGCAGGGCTAGGGACTGCGGTGTCTTCCTTCCTTTCAATGGGGCCCTTGGTGGCTTGTTGGCCCCTCTGCAACATCGGTGTTGCCGAGCCCACCATTTGGCACACTCGGAGAAAACTTTTAGGTGTCACCTAGGGACAAGGTGTCGCCATGGCCGAGAAAGATAAGTCAGGCGCTTGCCTAGGCAAACATGTTTCTGTCGACGTTTTGTGCCGAAAAAGTTGAAATAATCCATCCCACAAGGTACAAATCTATGAAAGTGACGCTAAATAGTTCAAGAAGTGATGGTGAAAATTTTGCTTTCCCTGATATCTGTCATTTTGTGTGTGCGCGGTTCTGGAAATTGTGTGGAACATTCCTAGACTCGTACCTCATAATACATCAGTATATTCGTGACCAAGGGTCTACGTGGGGCTTCGTTCACGAAATATGTCGTTGACCCCCCTGCTACAGAGGCTTTTCTATTCGCGGTGACCCTTACTCAAACATCTAGAAATGAGAGTCCCCCCCGCCCCCCACGGGGTTGGGTTTTCGTCGCTTGGCAACGACGTTGTAAAACAAGCCGCCCCCTCCGGTGATTTCCATCGGGATTGGGTTTTCGTCGCTTGGCAACGACGTTGTAAAACAAGCCAATTCACTTCGTGAACTCGGCAACCAGGTTACCGTTTTTTTTTTTTTCCTCCGTTTATTTTTTTTGGGCAGTAACCATAATGATGGTTGAGTAGATCATGTTGTGCGGGGTGAACCCTCACTCCGCGCAAGGGGGATGATCGCACCACGTTGTGTTAAAATGGTCAAGCACCCTCGAGGCAGTTACACAGTGCTTACAACTGTCTCTGGAAGTGAAAGCACCAGAAAATAAATTAATTCATACGCAGCTGTCATCCGTACGCAAGGAAGTAAGCACAAGATGCCGAACACCCTTAGCAGGATGCAGCGCACCCTTCATGCGACTCGCCGAATATCTCACGGCGCTTCGCGCTTGGTGATGTGAGAGCCTGGTCCGGTGAGAACCCGGCGTGCTCCGTCCCGGCTTTGTAGGGATGCGAGGTCAATGGTCTAACGACTACGGCATGCACGACTATGAGTACACCCCGCCCCCCACGAACCCCGATTTTCGGTTGGTGGCCCTAGGTTTTTGTCTTGTTTTTTTACGTTGGACCCTGGACGTGACCGTTGATTCTTCCCATTGAGGGTGGGATGAAACAGTGTCTTCACCTCCCACGGCTGGTGAAGACACCCTTCCAAAACTTCTCCTTTCCTTCCAATCTCGATACAGAGGATAACCCCATGCTCACGGAGTAGAACCGCCCCGCGGAGCGTTTTTTTTCTCTTTCAAGTTCCACGGAGTGGATTTTTCCATTTGAAACTGCCAAGTAGCGGTGTGGAGCGGATTTTCCGAGGGCAAAAGTCCCACGGAGCGGAGCTATTTTCTTATTCATAGTCACGGAGCGGAGCGGAGCGGTTTATCCGTACTGCACTATTTTTTCACAGAGCGGTTTTGTTTACTTGGTAGTATACACCGTGCGAAACCGTGGCCTTGAGCCCGGTTTTTCCGTCAGAAAAACCCGTCGAAACCGCACGGGCATCCGTAAAAAATCGACGGGAGTACCTGCAATTTCGTGAAAAACATTGGGTTTGGTACACCGAAAAGTGATTTTCCGCACGGTGTGCTGTGGTTGGGGGCCGCCGGTGACACTGTTGTATGCGTCCTCGCCGCTAGGACAGCCCAGTTTTATCACTTTTCAGAAAGGGAACTTTACCCGCATCTACTCGTCCTCGACTCCAATGTTCCTGCAACGCGTAAAACAGCACATGATTCCTCACTTGCCTCTCGTTGAAACTTGCCAGCACTAACACCTCATACCTCCTCGACTCAAACGTTCATGCAGCACGTACAACAGCAGATGATTCGTCACTTGCCTCTCGTTGAAACTTGTCATACCTAATAATACCTTCTGCTCTGAAAATAGAACAGAAGAAAAGAAACAACCTGGAAAAAATATCGTGTGCATAACTCCGTGGGAAAACCGTGACTTTTTTGCGGTGTTACCCATGACTGCATTGCGACGACGAACGGCTGAAGGTAAAACCCTCTGGACTGACGTCTGTGGCTACTTACTGCCGTCGAGTGGCAAGTCTGTTCGGCTGTTACAAGCTTAAACAATTTACAACGGGCTTGAACCTTGGCCAGCATCATTACTTGATGACCACGGACTGAGAGTCTTGGCATTTAGCAACTGACACACGACTTCGTAAGTCGCGAGGGAAGGGATTGCTGTACCCTTCTCGCGATAAAAATACCTCAGGCATGAACCGCAGGAGGGGGTCCAACCCCCCCCTCCTATGTGACCCCGGTTGGGTCGTCTAGCTAGTAGAAGTGGGGGATAGGGGCCAGAGGGGCAGACGACAGAGTCCAATGATGGGAGAAAAAAAAAAAAAACACGGTTTAATGTGAAGACAACAACCACAACAACAACAACAACAACAATCAATGCTCTCGTTTCAACCTCAACCCGACGCAAACCCTTTCACCTGGGGAATTCACGGCAGTAACCGCTGTGCAGTGGACCGACCAGCCAACAGTAGCAGCAGCAGCAGCAGCAGCAGCAGCAGCAGCAGGGCGCGTGGGTATGTTTGTGCGTGCGGGCTAGAAGTGTACCAAGAGCAGCTAGTGGGCGAGGAAGGGCCACATGGTGGAACGGTCTACGTACTGGTCTTGAAACAAATAATACCGCCTGTCCATTGGTCGAAAGCAACAGTCCGGAAAAAAGCAGAACCCCGGAACCCCCGGACAATGTGACCAGGTGACACGGACATACGGACACACTTTACAACGAGACATCGACACCGAGGGACTGTCTCGCCGGCGACACTGGACTATTGTTGGCGTGTCACGTGTGTGCTGCTGAGGCAATATCTTCCTGACCAAGGAGCAACGTGAGGCGTATGTCGGCCTGCCTGTGTTTGACGGAGATGTCTGTAGACCGGAACCGCCCTGGCACTTTCCACGTGCGGGTGATCAGTGTCCCACATGTACCGCCCGTGACCCACCGAATTTCTACCCAAAGGTCGCCCGTTCTCAAGGAGGGCGCTGATCGGTAGCGAGACGGATCAATGCGTGCAAACCGTACCCCTTTGTTGACCTGCTACTGCTGTATATACAATCCATAACGCCGAATGTGCGATCGCGGCTGATCTTCTGCACGATTTTCGTACCACCGCACACACCCACCGGCGTGTAGCTAGGCATGAAACCTGTATGTAGATGTGTGCGCCACAGGTTGCTGCCAAGCCAGGAAGATCTGTGTGCCCGGCCATGCCCTCGCGGCAAATTCTTCAAAGGCGATCAATCCTGCTGTTGGGCATCGCGCCTCCGGGTGAATGTTGATCGAATGTTGCGTAGGTGCGCCGTGCGTTTGACAGAGCATTGTTTTTTGTTTTTCTTTCTCCCATCATTGGACTCTGTCGTCTGCCCCTCTGTCCCCCATCCTCCACTTCTACCAGCCAGACGACCCAACCGGGGTCACATAGGAGGGGGGGGTTGGACCCCCTCCTGCGGTTCCTGCCTGAGATATTTTTATCGCGGGAGGGGTGCAGCAATCCCTTCCCTCGCGACTTATGATGTCTGCCAAGTTTATTAACAACGAGCTTTGCAGCGCGTCGCTTCCAACGGAGCCCAGGATTCAACTAGGGTGATAGCAGTTGTTGTGTTGCTTACGAATATCCCGACGTGACCCAAGATGAATCTTTATCTTTGGTAATGAATCGGTTTTTTAGTGTGGCCGTGTGGCGGTGTTCCTCGTTTCTGTACACGTAGGGCGGGTGGGCGACCAATAGAGCCAGCTGATGTTTCTTGTGAATTGCAGATGTCCTTTCGAGGGCATTTCGATCCTAGCGAAACAAGCGGGGGTCAGCGCACGAACAGGGCTACATATGTACAAGGGTGCTTCGCCCGCCCCCCTATCGGGAGGCCAGTCTCGCGTAATACCCGTAGGGGAACAAAAGGAAAAGTGTTTGAAGTTGGAAGGTGGGAAGGACGTGGGCAAGTTTACAGAAAACCGGTTGGGTTCGTCGCACCCATGATACGCATATTCTCTCCGGCATGCTGTGCGACGGAAATATGCAACGCCCCGCCTCTCCTTCAGGTCCATGGAATGGCACCTCGACCGTGCGCGACCCAACTTATACAAGTCTCCTTCCGCGAGCAAAGTGCTCCTCTAAAGCGCAATAAAATGTGAAGCTGCAACTATTGAACTCTATCTGCAGCGCCATGTACCATTGAACTTGTCCAGATACCCAGTGTTGTTACCACCCGGGGCTACACAAATGCCGTAAATTGCCCGCTTTGTGGTACCTTCCCCGCTCTGGTGGGCTCTCATCGTACCGCGCGCCACCAATACGACCTTGGTAGGGCCGGCTGGGCGACGTGGTCTGTGGGTAAGGCTCCGTCTCGCGAGGAAAAGTGGTATACTAAGACGCACAATATGCCGCAACATGTACAGCTGCACTACTATTCAGCGCCATGTGTAGCAGGTACTCTTACAGAAATGAGACAGAAGTTCGGAATCTACGAAAGTGAGACGTTCGTGATGTCCTTCAAGATGGGTCGTTGAGACACATGATGGGTGTCTTGCCATTCCCACAGGTCTGAAAAAACAGCATCTTCGTCCGCCAGGTGTTGTTATTAAACGTCGAGTAGACCATGGCAAATGTCCTCTTCATGCTCATTGAGGAGGTCGTCGATGTTGCAGTCTTATATCGAAGACTGCCTGCAGAAAGGATACGAAGCCAGTGTCATGGTTAAAGTTGGGAATTGCTGCCATACTATATGTAACATATGTTTGGTACCGCAACAGGAACCGGAGGATTTCCGTTCCGGGGGTAACAAACGCGAACCGTGATGATATGCGTGACGTCGAAGGCAGACATTTGTATGAAGGTGACGTAGGCAGGTGGGTGAGACGTGAGTTGAAGACATTGTGGAATGGATTTGACTGTGTATCGGGGGGGAGGGGGTGTACTCATAGTCGTGCATGCCGTAGTCGTTAGACCATTGACCTCGCATCCCTACAAAGCCGGGACGGAGCACGCCGGGTTCTCACCGGACCAGGCTCTCACATCACCAAGCGCGAAGCGTCGTGAGAAATTCGGCGAGTCGCAGGAAGGTTGCGCTGCATCCTGCTCAGGGTTTTCGGCATCTTGTGGTTACTTCCTTGCGTTCGGCCGACAGCTGCGTATGACTTGAGTACTTTTCTGGTGCTTTCACTTCCTGAGACAGTTGTAAGCACTGTGTAACTGCCTCGAGGGTGCTTGACCGTGATACACAACGTGGTGCGATCATCCCAATCGGGGGACGGCTATTTGTTATAGTTTCGTCGTCGTGTGTCATGCCGCAATGAATAGCTGCGGCAATAGTATTTCGTCGGAAAATTAATTGTGCAGATTATCAGATGAAAACGTAGTTTGTGATACGTATGTCGCTGCCCATCAGAGCCTGTTTAACCTGAAATGGAGTGCCGTCTCAATGAAGGCGCACCATACAAATAAGATCGTTTCCGCCTGTGAGAGCTCAAAAGTCAGTGATAAGGAAAAGAACGTATCTCACCCAAACCTGAGAAGTCACCCAAGTCAGCGGGGACGGCGTCACAGGTAGTCTTGGCCTAGTCATCGGCCGTAGTCCCAGCCTTTGCCCTTGCCCGACCCGGTCTCAAATGCTGATCTCGAGCTACAGTGCAAATCTCGTGGGGCCTCAAGTATGGTTCGGTAGGGAATCACAATCCATGACCCCTCCCCGAGTTTCAGCAGCTTCCACCTTCTTTGGCCGACACGACTCGGCGTTGACTGTTCGGTGTCTGTTTCGCCGTGGGAACGGCCGGTTGACCAGCGAAAGAGGGCCTTGCGTGCTGCGGCCACAATGTTTTTTTTGTTTTGGTGATTTTCTTACTGAGTGACCATGCGGCTGTTGCTGAATATATGCTCGGAATGTGCTGCAAAGATTGTAAGGTCATCGTCGCTGTCGCTTTGGGCTGCACGCGTTGCTCCCGTAGGCGTTGCTCGCGTTGGAGGCGATGCGCGTCACTTACTTTTTTCCTGTTGTGTCTTTATCCATGAAGAGCAAGAGCAGCACAACAGTTGAAGAGACAGACAACCACAGGCGCTACGCCCTATTTTTTTTTTTCTTGCGGAATATGCATGGGTGGTATGCATCGGTAGGCGTGTTGCTGCCTTACCCTGAGTCTGCTGCGTGAGGTCAGTAGTAATTTGAGCGATAAGGTAGATGGCAGCACGATCTTATTTATGTCGTGAGGTATGATCGCCAATAGTCTGCTCGTTCGTGCAGCGGTGCGCATCTATCGCGGACGGCAAGCAAACGTATTGAGATAATAGTTCGTTCGGGGTGCTTCTAGTCGTGTTCTTTTTAGTCCTCACTTCCTACCACAATAAGAAAGAAAGTCCACAGTAGTTCGAAAACCACGACTACTATTGTTTATTTTGTTTGTTTGTCGTTGCTGAGCCCACATGGGATATCGCCATTCGATACGCATGTCTGACAGCCTGCGATGGACCAGAGGGACGAGCGTGAGTGTATTCTCGAGAGTTAATGCATTGTCTTCTCTCCGCTCTCTTCTTTCAGTAGTCTACTCTCTCTCTCTCTCTCCATCTCTCTCGCCTTTCGCCGGTGGCGTCCCAACAACATCGGACGTCAACCGCTGTCATTTTGCTTCTTGCTGAGTAAGCGGCTTCCTGGGCATCCGGCTGCTGCATGTGAAGCGATTCCCGCTTCCTCTTCTGTCAAGCAATGGACTTGGGCCTTACCTAATGTTTGCTGCACATGTATGCAATGCTATGTGAGAGCTTCCGGCGGTCCAGAGCCAGAGCGGCGACCGTGGTTTTTCTATATGCTCTCTTTTGCCTCCTCCCTTAGGCCTGTCGCGTCTGGCTCACTCCTCTTTTGTTCTCGCTTCTTCTTTTTTTATTTTTCATGCTTTGTTTTTTGGGGTCCCCCGGTTCCTGTAGACTCATCGGGCGTCTTCTTGGTGTCTACCTTGATTGTTACCCGCTGAGAAAACCGAAAGCTTCAGACAGGCAACGCGACGATACTCCTCGAGCTGCCATACACAATACTACGCCCCATATACATAAACATGAACAACAGTGCTCCCTCGACGGTCAGCAGGTGATATGGGCACGTCGGTTGCTCACCGTAATACGTCTGGTTACGATAGAAACCCGTTGGTCTTGACCCCTAGATCTACCGCAACTCTCCGGCCTCAGGTCTGAATGGCGTACAGGGGCACGAGGGGCGCCGCCGCAGCAGCAACAGCTGCAGTGCTTGAAAAGGACGAACATCGCCACGCGCAGTCCGCGGGCGATCTTGTTGGGTTGTCGAGGGACAGGGTTACAGCTAACCTTGAGCCGAAAACGTCGACCGCCGCCCAGAATTTCCCAACGAAGGCGACCGCGCCACGAAGAGAAGCGTACCGGCAGGAAGAAGCAACATGCGACGAGCTGACAAAAAGGGTCATGGCCTTACAAGTCGTCGACGACCGCAGCAGTACTCCTGGGAGGAAGATAGAGACCATTGCCGAGCTGAAGCAGCAGCTGGAAGGCATGTGCCGGACTGTGTTCGCGACCCTCGGGCGGCAGCAGACGGAGAGCGCCTACCAGATGGCCCTCAAGATCGAGCTCGAGGACCGAGGGGTTGCCGTCCAGCAGGAAGTCAAGATATCCATCACCTACAGAGATATCGACATCTCTTCCAGGCGGGTTGACCTGCTGCTGACCCTCCGCGACGGCTGCACGGCGATCGTCGAGATGAAGGCCGTCTCGACACTCACCAAGGGCAACAACCTCAACGCTGTCCACCAGCTCCAGTATTACCTCGACGTTTTCGACGTCAACCACGGGTTTCTGGTGAATTTCCCGCACGATGCAGGCTTCCCTCCACCACCGAACGGAGGAATTTTCCGGCAGGAACCGATCTGCGGAGTGGTGGGCCCGCTGTCCGATGTTCGCGTGCGAGAACGCAAGGCTAGCAACGTCGGCAACGGGCCGGAGATTGTGTACTTCCGGCGGGTGTTGTAACATTCTTCTGCGCTCTTGACTCCGCTCTTCGTGGTGGTATTTAGCCCGTGGTGTTGGTGATCGTGGTAGAAATGCGTTAGGGTGCGGCGCCGAAGGCCGAAACTTGCGGGAATAGATGGGGAGAGGCAGGTTTTTCGCGGTGTGTTAGTCTGTGTTTGGGGATCCTTTACAGGCGGGCCGAATAACGAATGGAGTGGTTTGTGCCTCCGCAGAGACGACGGGGCATGCTCTTGCTGCTGCTGCTGCTGCTGCTGCTGCTGCTGTGCATGTGATATGTTGTGATGATGTCGACGTGGTTTTGACATTGCAACTTGTGCGGAGTGAAAATCTCTCACTGCTGTTGCTAACGATTTTTGTTCGAAGCATTTGCTCAGGTTACCGATGTAGTATCTGCTGATGAGGTTTGCGCACCAGAAACCTAGTCCACGAGGTAAACTGAGGCGCATTTGCGAAGAGAAGGCGCTTTTTTAATGAAGCCGGCGTCCAGTAACGTGCTAGATCATCATAGCGTAGGTACCGGACGCCGGCTTGAGTATAAAAGGGCCTTGCCCTCGTGAATGTACGACCACTTGATTTTACCTGGTGGACCGGAAGGACCCAAGTGCAAACGATGGCATTCATCAGTGCGGCAGCAGCGCATCTATTTTTCAGGACACCGTGCAGACTGGTGTCAACGTAAATTTGTGCCTCGCAGCATTACAAACGTTTTCGGAGGGTCTGCTCGTAGATGCTCGTCCACACCGTTGTACTTTGTAGATGTTTCCCTCTGTAGTTTATTCATTGCCGTTAGTGCTAGGGGCCTTCCAACAACGCAAGTGTAGGCGTTATTTTCAAGTGTCGACAGAGAGAGCATAGATGCAGGGGCAATAGAGGAAACGTGCAACGTATACCTTTCCACCGTAGCATGAGTACGTGGCACACGGAGGCACAAAAGCTTTTACTTACGTTCTTTTTTGCCGATTTCTTTGGGCCATGTTGCTCGGTTAGCCTTTGGCAGTTTGAAACCTATTGCTGATTATCTGGCTTTATTGGTGATGACGTGGCAATTGGCTGGTCTCTAAAGTACGGCCGTACGTATCTGATTCTTGTTTGTTGATCTGACTAGACTAATTGTTGCTTACCTTGTTCTTGCGCTGGGAGTGGTGCAGTTTATTCATTCACACATTGATTGTTGAAACCAATGCGGCGGATGAATATCGTCGGCGTTGCTGTGCAGGTACGTATGTAGACTACGGATGAACTATGAAACGACTACGGCGTTCCGCACCGCCTATCTATGGGAGAGAGACAGACAGAGACCGAGACCGAGACAGAGCCAGGTCATTTCGCTCATCATCAGCTTTATCGCTTTATCAACCGTCTGATTCTAATCGTTGCCGTACGTCGACGTACGTATGTATATACGGTGGAGTGTGACGGCTGCATGTGATGCCGACTGGCGACAACGTGGCAACAACATGACGCGTATCTCGCACCCGTATCTTGACTATGGGAACTCTTCGCTCGGACGACTGCTGTCCACCCGTTTCATTTCGCTTCGCTAGCTTGTTGTGCTGCTTCTAATTATATTTTCTCTGGTAATATGCAGAATGGGTGCGCCGCCACGTCTGTTTCTAGCTTTCTTTTGGGTCATTTTTTGTATTACGATGGGTAGGAGAGCCGTATGTTGTTCGCCTTTCTTCTTCTGTGAAAACAGTTTAGGGACGACACATTTAGGGAACGGAACGCAGCAAATAGTGTACTTCGGGTTAAGACGGGAGCGTTTTCAGGGAATGAAAGTGGAAAATCACAACATCAAATCGAATGGATACGGGTGGTCTGGAGTCAAAGGGCAACAATTCCTTCCTCGTCACGATGTGGCGCGCATGCAGCCGAGGGCATATGAATACCAGTGATGTATTTCGTACAGTAGATCGTCCTGTTTGTTTTATTTTGCCCTCTACTAAGGAGGCACAAAAAAAGTCTTCTCGCACACCTACCCGACACCTCCAATCTCCCACACTTCTGACAGTTTTCCCAAATGACCCATGGGCAGCCCATGGTTCACCCATGGTTCACCCATTGGCCACTCATGGGCCGCCTATGGGCACTTCATGGGCCGCCCAGGCCCACGAAATGCCCATCATGGGCTCGGCGTGAGCATGCTCATCATGGGCTGCCCGTGGGCCGCCCATGGGCAGTGGGCCGCCAATGGACAGCCCATGCCGAGCACTCACGCGACCTCCCACTGTGGGCAGTCCATGGGCACGTGCACCATGGTGGGCAGCCCATGGGCAGCCCACCGTGGGCACTCATACAACTGCCCATCATGGACTGCCCATGGATGGCCCACGGGCACGTGCCCATGATGGGCGACCCATGGGCAGCCCATGATGGGCACTCACACGACTGCCCATCATGGTGGGTACGTACCTATCGTGGGCAGTCCATGGGCAGCTCATGGTGGGCACTTCTACGAAACTGTCCATGGGCATTGCCCGGTTTGCCTATGGGCTGTCTATGGGCACCCATTGGCACCTTCGCACCCCACGGGAAGAGCCCAGTGCCCCGTTTTGGGCACTGCCCATGAGCAGCCCACGAGCAATCCATGACGGTCACTCGCGCACTGAAGCAATAGGCCATTATGGGTAAAAAAAATGTGCATGATAATGGGCTGCCCACGGTATGGCTAGCGTCGTGGGCACTCACGCACAGCCCCGCAAGGGCTGTCCGTAGGCTGTTCATGGTGTGTGTAGAAATCTACGCATACACAAAAACATCAATACTAAACCAATACCAAGTACAACAACATATGTAGGACTTATTTCTACTGTCACTTACATCGTAAAAATATCTCCAATCTAATTTGAAATTAAACCAATGACAATCCTCATGGCATCCTACATGCGTTCGTAAGCTTACTAAAATACTACTGCGTTGATGTCCGCTTGTAAAAGCTGAAATCCAACAAATGCTTTGATCCATGCTTCATCTCCGTGTTGGAAAAGCCCTTTCTTCTCCGTCCATGATAACATTATACCCTATTCTACGCAAATCTGTCACATCTACTCTCATACAAGACGCCAACTTCAAACGAAAACGCGTTCTACGATGCGTCTACACTCCATCCGCATATCATTGGCGTTGACTGGTTCGAGGTCGAGCTTGTTCGCCTGTTTTCGGCGTCTTGACGCCCGCGCAATGCGAGCTTGTATCTCTGCACTCGCCGAGATATGGCCACCTGTGTAGCCACCGAAACGATCTGAAGGAGTCGTTCCTTGACCATCCATGCATACTTACCACGGGATAGTGCTTTTGCACTTCTTCGGGTATTTTGGCCCAAAGATAATACATTGTTACGGTGTGTAGTATGCCAGTGGTTAGCCAAAACTGAGTTCGCGGGAAAGCCATATACTCCTCGAAGAATTGCTAAATTTTCAAACGGAAAATGGAGTTGTGGGGGCCACAACATTCTGCTGATGCAACATTACCATCTTCCCTACAACATACTGAACCAGGGACGTCACTTTTCATGGGAATAATGGTCCAATGGAATTACCAGAAACAAGCCCTGTTTCTGGTCACTATCTCACCGTACATCAATTTTCATCAAGATCGAGCGAACGCGAGTTTTCCTTTAATCCCGGCTGATCTGCTGCAATAAACGGGTTGTGATTCGTCCATGTTCTTCTCGAAATACACCAGAAGAGACAGAGAGCGAATTTTTTCCCTGAGTTATGTTTGCCGTATTTTGGCACTGCTACTTGCTCCACCCGTCGAGTAACCTCTTGTTTGCTGTACCAGGAAGATCTCCACTAACAGAGCCAATCGACCTAAAACCAATCACATCGTGTAGCTACGGACTACAGCTTTCTGCAATGCTACTTGGAAGCCAAATCCGGGCTGAAGAGATATTATGCCGAAAGGGCGGGTTCCGCACTATGTCAGGCAACAGTAATCGTTTCCAACCTCCGTCCAAACAGCTCTCATTGGCCTCAAATGTTTTTCGTCGTGTCTGCGTGGTCCATACCATTCTTCCAAGCTATCGGACGCCCCCATCAAATATGTTCCCGCAGAGATATGGTCAACAGAGGGGGTTCCGCAGCATCTAGCGGGAGGGCGGTGTAGATCTACTCATGGTCGTGCATGCCGTAGTCGTTAGACCATTGACCTCGCATCCCTACAAGGCCGAAACAGAGCACGCCGGGTTCTCACCGGACCAGGCTTTCACATCACCAAGCACAGAGCGGCGCGAGGTATATATTCGGCGAGTCGCACGAAGGGTACGCTGCATCCTGCTTAGGGTGTTCGGCATCTTGTGCTTACTTCCTTGCGTAGTCTATGGATAACAGCTGCGTACGAGCTATAATATTTTCTAGTGCTTTTCTGGTGCTTTCACTTCAGAGACAATTGTAAGCACTGTGTCACTGCCTCGAGGGTCCTTGACCATTTCAACACAACGTGGTGCGATCATCCCATTTGCGCGGATTGAGGGTTCTCGACCCCGCAAAATATAACCTACTCCACCACAATTCATGGTTACCGCAAAAAAGAAAGTAAGGCAAAAAAATACTCATAAAGCGGTGACTAACCTGGTTGCCGAGCTCACGAAGTGATCGGCTAGCTGTACAACATCGCTGCCAAGCGACGAAAATCCAACCCAATCAGACGTGTGGGTGCAGAGAAACGCCCACCAGCAGGGGCTCAGTGACTCAACAGCCGTTGGAGCACATAAGCTAAACTGCTCCACCAGGCCACACTCTATGTAAAGGGTGGTGCTTGTCCAACTAAGGCTTGCACTGTGATCACAGCTATCATTCAAGCCATCGAACACCCCAATCGGACCAGTGGGTCAAGGGAAACGCCCACCCACGGGGGCTCAGTGGCTCAACGGCCGGTGGAGCAGATAATAAGCTAAACAACTCCACCAGGCCAAAGTCTATGTAGTCTATAGGGTGCTGTATGCTCTATGACGACTTTAATTGTGTTGGCACGTCTCACAGCTACCAAACGGGCCATCAGGCACGCCAATGGACCAGTTGATGCAGAGAAACGCTCACCCACGGGGGCTGCGCGACTCATGGGCCGGTGGAGCTTAACTGCTCCACCAGGCCAAAGTCCATCCGCATGAAATCGTTTGTCCTGCTAAGACTTGTATTGTCATACAAGCCATCGCGCACCCCGATTGGACCAGTAGGTGTGGTGAGAAACGCCCACCCACGGGGACTCATGGCTCAAAGGTCAGTGGAGCAGATACTTGGTTTGGAGCCATTCCCTCGTCAGATTCACGGTACCCTCTCGTCCGAATCACTTCATTCCCTGATCAGATATGCTGTATTCATTCGAGAGAAGCACTGTATTCCCTCGTCAGATGCACTGCATTCCCTGATCAGACACGCTGTCTTCGCTGACCCGATACCCTGTACTCCCTTGTCAGATACACTGTACCCCCTGAGCAGAGTCGCTGTGTTCCCTCATCTGTGTTCCCTCATCAGATACACTTGTATTCCCTCGTCAGATTCACTGCATTCCACGGAGCACAGCATGTCGGATGAGGAAGTACAGTGAATCTGTTGAAGGAATACAGTGAGACGAACGACGGAATGCGGTGTATCTGAAGAAGAAATACAGCGATATTGACCAGGGAGTACAGTGTAATTGATGAAGGAACACAGTGAGACGAACGACGGAATGCGGTGTATCTGACGAGCGAATACATTGAATCTTCTCAGGGAAAACAGTGAAAAGTACAAGGAATACGGTGTATCGGATAAGGAGATACAGTGATCCTGACCAGGGCATACAGTGTAGTTAGTGAAGTAATACGGATAAAGAAGAGCAGGAATACGGTGTAGTATCGGACGAAGGAATACAGTGAATCTGCTGAGGGAGTACAGTGTTTAGCGTATCTGATCGACAAATACAGTGTATGTGATCAGGGGAAACAGTGTATCTGTCCAGGAAATACAGCGAAACTACATTTTTCCCTAGAGGAGTGCGTGCGAACACGGCGCCAAGGGGCGCCCGTAAGAAAAGAAGAGTGCCCATAACGGAGGTGGGGTGCCCGTTGGGAGTGTCTTTAGTTCAGGGGGAGTGCCCCAAACCACCAGGGAGGGGGCGTTATGGGGGGGGGGGGGG